GCTGTCGGAGGGTGTGGAAATGTAGAGGGCGCCACACATAAACATAAATAATTAGAATGATTCTTTAAAGGGCAATTACCTAATTTGGAGCGCTTTGAATAATTGCAGAGAACGGAAAATTCCAGATAGACGGAGCGAGATAGCAAAAGGACATCGGGCGGCGACTGCACTAAGCGGCTTAATGCCCCAAAATGAAGATAAAGTGATTTCCAGTGGCGTTGCTGCTGCCGCTTCTGCTGCTGCTGCTACTTCTGCTGCTGCTGCTGCTGTTGTTGCTTCTGCCTTTTGCTACTGCACACGCCTGAGAGACATTTAAATCCAAACAGTTCGAAAATAATTAGAGCGTTTAGTGACCTCCCCAGTCACCTCCTCTCTCTAACCACCCACTAAGTCCGTACTTTCACCCTTGGGTGAAATGTTGTCTATTACGTTGGAAAGTGTAGATTGCGAAGGCGAAGTCCAGACAAAGACCAAACTAGATGGACATGGAATACTCTGGGAAATGCGGTTAATTTCAAGTTTTAGCTGTTCTCAATTCTCCATTTGCATTTTCCTGCTTGTTAATTAATATCCTTATTAGTGGAAAATACTCGGTTGCACTCTCAAAAGTAAGAGTTAGTAATGAATTTGCAACGTTTCGAATATCGAAACTAAGGGTTGGAAGATAACTTTATTGATGCTTTAGTAAGAGGTGCTATTTTGCATTAAAACAACGTTTAGTTTGATATAAATATATTATATTATATACATTAATATATGATCATAAAGTGCAAACTGAGGTAATTCTGGTTTTCATTTAGAAAACCTTTTTATTTCTATATCTTTAATGTGCCTCATTCTTAAGCCCTTAAATTTAATTTCCTCCTTAACCCATTTCCTTTGCTTAATAGCAAATACTAATCTAACAAAATACTAAACATAAAAATCCAATTAGTGCTGCCCAACCGAGTCGCAACTTATTAATGATGTTCACATTTAAAAATTTATAACTTTTTCAAGAGATTTTCGCATTAATCGTTACCGAGATCATGACAAATTGCAAATACCTTTAAAGGAGTTTGCTTTTGAGTGGCCTGTGATGATGCCGATGGGAATGGACATTGGATGAGAGGGGTAGAGGACGAGCGGACCAAGAGGGACACTTGTTCAAATCACTGAAGATGGGTCTCCGGCCGTCTCACGTCCCAAGTGACCCAAAAGGACACGCAGCGAACCCTTGACTCCGTGGAAAATTGAGCAGTGGGCGGGGCCAAAGTCTGAGCACAGCTTGAAGTTAAATAAATTAAGGGCAATTAGGCGCAGCATTAAGGGCACAAAGGTCGCTGGGGGCTCAAGCCAAGCCACCCACTTGTAGGCCCACTGCCAGGTGATTTCTCAAATTATGAACGAAAAGGTTGGTTTTTCTTTCTGTCTTCTTTTTTTTGAGGAATTTAAAGTCATCTTCTGCTGCAGCTGCTGTGATTTTTAATTGCGCACTTTACACTGTAAATTTTACAGTTTTCCAAGCAGCAACCGACAAGACGGAAGTCGTGTTCGCCTCAAAGATTAGCGGTAAGTTTTCTTCAGCAGACAAGTGCAGAAAGCGTAACCAGCAACAACTACCAGCTAGCAAACAGCATTTTTGGCCAATTAACTACGGCTAATTGTTGCGTACCGAACGCAATTGCAGAAAACAGAAAACGTTCACAAGCCAAATGCGAAACGTGAAAGTCAACAGAAAAAATTTATAACCACCTCAGAAGTCGGGGGAGTCAGCCAACAGTGAAGTGCAGCAAAAAATTATGGTAAGAGGTGCAAAAAAAAAAAATAGGAGAAAAATATTAAGTCGAAAACTGTTGATCATTTGGCAGCGATCAGCGTTTTTTTTTTCCTTCTAGCCAACTTCCGCTGCGGCCGAAAGATATTTGCATAGTGGCCGAGTTCTACTTTCGCCAACCCAAGCAAAAGATCATCAAAGACGGTCGAGCGTGGAATGGGTTTCGACGAAGGAAGTCCAATATTTTTATGCGGAGAAAACAATTTTATTATAATGAGTTGGCTCTAAAGACTTCTTTATGGCTTCTATAAAGAAGTTTATACATTTCCGACTTATATATAATAATTTTACGGCTCTTTTACCAACCGTGGCTAATAATTGCTAAAAGCTGGATTTTATGGTCAGGCAAACCCTTTTTTTTATAGTTTTTACCTGCAGTTATCAATTTATTTATTGTTTTCTAAGCTTCCTGCTTATTTCTTTTCTTGTATAATTAAGCTAAAAATTAGTTAATAATATAAGCATTAACTTTACTTTAAACTTAGCCTTAAGCAGTTTTCCTTCTTGTTATGATTATTTGTTAATATTTTCCCACATAATATTTCCTTGTAAATATAATTTAATGTAAAACCCTTCACCAGCTACTTTTAACAAACTTTAAGAACGACATAAATTATTACACTTTTGCAGTTACATGGCCGAAATGCTTGACATCCATAAAATGCCAAAACATGAGAAGATTTTTCCACTTAATAATTCAAGCGAATAAAGTTCCAGCTTTCGACCCAATCTGCTTAGTTCTCGGTACCTGAAGTCAACCCATAGAAATACTTCACATGCATGGCTGCCCAACAAAAAAAAAAAAAAACAAAAAAAGAAAATCCAAAACACGCAAGAGAAGATTTCACTTTTTGAAGCTTAGACAAACGAAAAAGTCAGAGGAAAAATACGAGAAAACAATACACAATCATAACTGACCTTAATCAATGTCTACGATGTTGAGTTTTCAGTTGTTTTTCGTTTCGGCCTCATCTGTGACTGAGTGGGTGGGAAAATGGAAATGTATCTCGCTTCGGAAAATGTATCTTGGAGTGTAACAAGCATATGCAATCGCGTTTTATTTCTTCTTCTCTTGGCCGAAAGAGGACAAACAACAAGCCAACTCTACTCTGTGTTTCTTTTTTTTTTTTTTTGTATTTTTCCCCGGCTGTAAACAAGTTTTCTGCGAAAACTTCTCAGGCAATCTGAATCTGAATCTGGACGGAGGAGGCAGCTGGTAGATGGAACGTCTCCGCTGCAATTTCATTCATATGCAATAGAGAGAGGGGGAAAGCTGAAGTTGAGGCTAAGGCTGAGGCTGAAAAACAGGTAACACTGAGAGCGTTTCCTGTCTGGCCAAAAGACACGAGTGGTATCATGTAGCTGCCCCCAGTCGTCCGCAGGTGAAGTAACTTATACGCAATTTCAGACTCCCTTCCTTCTGGCCCTCGGGCTAATTAGTTTGGAGCTCAAGCTCAACTCATTCTCATTCTCATTCCCATTCTCATATTCCTAGATTCCCATATATTCCCATATTCTGGTCTTTGGTTTTGTGCTTCTGGGCCATCATTAAACGTGGCAGGGAGATAGTTTTTCCAGCCATATAAGATCACCCGAGTTGAGAGCTCTTTCACTATGCAAACCGATCTTGAATGAACGAGTCGCTCATAAAATCATCACATTGTGAAATTTTCTGCACACCATGCAGCAAATTCATTCAATGGATTTTTAGTATCTCGTATCTGGCGGATGTGACTCATTCGGTCAAGTCTGAAATTACGCCGCACTCGACTGGCAAGCTCAAAAGCAGAGGCAGTGGCACTGGCAGTGGCAGAAGAAGAGGAAGAAGCGAACGGAGCCAAGTCAGAGGAAGTATTTTTTTCAGCTACTCATTCGTCTTTGCCGGCTGCAAGCTAAGCAGTTTTTAGTTGTTGTCGACCACTGAGAGAAATAAAGCAGTGAAACTGGTTAAAAACTATTAAATAAACTTGAGAAATAAAATATGAAATATGTTAAAAAATATAATCAAGCTAAATAATAATTAGTCTTAAAATAAGATCTAAATAATTCTGAAATTTTAGGGATTATATAGAAGAGATTTTTGATTGCACTTTTCATCTAGCTAAAAAAATATAAAAAAATTAAATTTTAATTTTTAATGGTTTATAAACATTAATATAACATTAATAACATTAATCAAAAAAAGTAATATATAATAAAATATTTTAAAATATTAAAATTAAATTGGTAATTTCTTACAATACATTTTAAATCCTTTAAAAAAAATTTTATTTTTTTTTTCTCTGAGTGTACTCATTCAGCTTTAATTTTTCTTGGTTTTTTTTGGGTCTGTTTCTGTTGGTGTTTCATGCCTGAGTAGGTTGATCGCTGATTGACTGCAGGTAGCGAAAGAGGAGAGGCAAAGGGGGCTTGATGAATGGGAATGAAGAATGGGAAACTTAGAAACATCCGAAGTACATTCGAGCGATGTAAACAGACTTCTCTACTTTGTACGACATTAACAAAAGGTGTTAATTAGCGGGAAAGCTAAGCGAAGCTAAGAAAACCTAAAATTCTTTAAAATCTACAAACAACAAAGGAGATTTAAAAAGAAATTTATAAAAAAATATTATCTAATAAATTTCTTATTCCAAATGAGAGTATTAAATTAATAAACTTATATTCAAGTCATAAAAAAAACCCCTTTAAATACAAGAATTAAATCCACCTGATATCTAAAATTTTTCCTTTCACATTTGAATAACTCAAATTGTTGTTTTTGCCACAAATTTATTTTACGTTGCAAACAACTTTTTTCAGACTGATAAATTTTGAAGGCCAGCGAAATTCTTGGAATCGCAAAGCAGACGAAAAGCCACCTAATTTTCTATGGCAAAACAAAAGGTCGGAAAGGCGAAATCACAAGACGTTGGCGGCCCAATTAAATTCGTTTTAATGATGTCATGTGATCGGCCCACGAATGAACCTTTTGGTTTATTTATACAACACAAATCCCTATTTATATTGCGCGAAGCCAATTGGAAATCTTTACAACGGATTCGTGTGTAATATAATCCTTTCAACCGGTTGGCAGGCCCACATGTTGCATGTGAATGTTGCGAAGCGGTTATAGCAACATACAGAGGCTTATCTCGCTCTCAACTTTCTCTACTCTCACGCTCTCTCGCTGCTCTCTTACTAGCCAGCCGAACGTTACAAGAGCAGCCGAAGTAACTTCGTGTCCAGCCGAATGGCAAAGCGACAGCTAAGGCTTTGATTCAAAATCCATGAAGCTCTGTTCAAGTCGAAGAACGCTGCCGAGCGGTTGGTTCCCGCTATCGCTGTCGCTGTCGCTGTTACGTTGTTGCGTTGCCGTTGTTCCCGTTGTCGCTGAGTGTGTGTGTGCGTTTCAAAGGAGTTGTGCATCCGATAACAAGGATTCACCGTTATTTTGTGTAGTGCAAAAAGTAAAGAATTGCCCAAAACAGTGGTCATCAATGCCTAGATCACAACTCATCGAGCTGCCCTCGCTCGAAAAATCAAAAATCATCCCCCGAGGTTCGCTCGTAACGCAAACAAAAACGAAACCGAAAACGACGAAAAAACGCGATGCGAATTAAAGCTTTGCGTGGCAAAATGCGCTAACCGAAGCAACAAAACAAACCAACCATCCAAAAAAAAATATTATATATATATATATAAATATATATGTATAAGTATACGTAAGAAGCAGCACGTGAAGAAAGAAAAATCCCGCAAAATTACGTAGAAAAATAATAATAATAATAGAAAAAAAGCGAAAAAGGAAATACGAATTTCGTTGGCCGAAAAATAAAAACGATTATCATCGAGACGAGTGTGTGTGTGTGTGTGCGAGTGTGCTTGTTTGCCAGTGAGCGAGTGCCTATGTGTTGGTGTGCTGGGAGGCTAGCCCTATAAATAACATTTGGGTCTGGCCAAGCGCTAATTACGGCAAAACATGAAAATCTTTGCGAAAAGCGCACCAACAACAAGTGTAGTCAAGGCGGCAATTAATCAATTTTCCGCTTGACCCATAAGGAAGTTTCCATATCATAATTAAAAGAGAAACCCCGAATAAACGAAAAACGAAGGATACAATCGCACGAAAGTAAGAGTTTAAAGGTCAACCCAACGAAACATATCCTTGAGTTATACAAAAATTATTCCAAAATCCGATGTTCAATGGATTTCCATATCAACTTAAAACACAAAAAACATCAATTAAATTAAATCAGAAGCTGCGCTTCGAAAATTAAAGACAGCAAATTGGAAATAAGATATAAAAATCAAAAAAAGTTAAAATAAAACCCATGTGATTATTAAAATAAACCCTTCATATCATAAACAGAATAACTAATGATATTACTAATCACAAACAAACACTGGGCTTCAGCCTAGAACGCTCAAAACTAGAAGACTTCGACGAGAAAAAGCCAGGAAAATGCATATCAGGGAAGTGGCTTTCCTGGTCCTCAGCCTGCTGCCTGGAATCATTCTGGGCAATCGCTATAATCAGCTGCATCTGTATGCAAATGGAGGAGCTGGCAGTTCCTCCTCATCATCCAGCCCAGGGAGTTATAGACCAGCTCCTTCCTCCCAAAACGAGGTCTACTCCATAGCAGACAGTCAGCCAATGACGGAGGATGGCTATATCCATGCCAATCAGCACTTTCCACCCGCCCACTCCGACTTGGATCCTCCTGCCCAGCAGCAGAGCACCTGTCAGACGGTCTGCGCCTGCAAGTGGAAGGGTGGCAAGCAGACGGTTGAGTGCATCGATCGACATCTCATCCAGATACCCGAGCACATTGATCCCAATACCCAAGTGCTGGACATGTCCGGAAATAAGCTGCAGACCCTGTCCAACGAGCAGTTCATACGTGCCAATCTGTTGAACCTGCAAAAGCTATATCTGAGGAACTGCAAGATTGGCGAGATCGAGAGAGAGACTTTTAAGGGTCTAACAAATCTCGTAGAGTTGGATCTATCACATAATCTCCTAGTAACTGTACCCAGTTTGGCCTTGAGCTATATCTCCTCGCTAAGAGAACTCACTCTGGCCTCGAATCACATACACAAAATCGAAAGCCAGGCCTTTGGTAATACCCCTGCGCTGCATAAATTGGATCTCTCCCATTGTGATATCCAAACCATTTCCGCCCAAGCCTTTGGTGGCCTACAAGGACTAACCCATCTTAGGTTGAATGGGAATAAGTTGAGTGAGCTCCAGCCCAAGACCATTGAGACCTTGAGTCGTCTTCATGGCATCGAACTGCATGACAATCCCTGGCTCTGCGACTGCCGTTTGAGGGACACAAAACTCTGGCTGATGAAAATGAATATCCCGTATCCAGTGGCTCCCATCTGTGCTGGTGGTCCTGAAAGGATCATTGATCGCAGCTTTGCAGATCTTCATGTGGATGAGTTTGCCTGCCGACCTGAGATGTTGCCCATTTCCCACTATGTCGAGGCTGCGATGGGGGAAAATGCCTCGATCACCTGTCGGGCGAGATCTGTTCCAGCGGCAAATATCAATTGGTACTGGAATGGACGACTTCTGGCCAACAACTCTGCCTTTACCGCCTACCAAAGGATACACATGTTCGAGCAGGTCGAGGGAGGATTCGAGAAGAGATCGAAACTGGTGCTGACCAATGCCCAGGAGACGGATTCCAGTGAGTTCTACTGCGTGGCCGAGAATCGAGCTGGAATGGCCGAGGCCAACTTCACCCTGCACGTGAGCATGAGAGCTGCAGGAATGGCATCCCTGGGAAGTGGACAGATTGTTGGTCTAAGTGCTGCCCTGGTGGCCCTGATTGTCTTCGCCCTTGGGGTTATCATGTGCCTGCTGCTAAGGGTCAAACGTCAGCCGTATGTTGATAGCAAGACCCCCAACCACATGGAGGTGATAACATCGGTCAACCATCAGAATTCCATAACGAACAAGACTCAGCCAGCTACGGGAAATGGCAGCATAGGAGGGGTGGTCATCGCCAATGGAGCTGTGGCTAATATAATCGACGGGGGAGTAGTGCAAGGAGGAACTCTGGAAAGGAAGAGCAGCGGACGAGGAGTATCCCATGGTGGTCACGATCAGAGGAGTGCTAATCCCGTACAGAAACCACCGAGATTGACAGATCTTCCGTACTCCAACCAAGGTTATGATAATGGCGGAAGTGTCCTCTCCACTGCCTCCTGCTTCATATCGCCCACTGGATCCACTGGAAATGGTGGCAATAATCCGGATCTGATCAATGACACCAAGCGTTTTGGAAGCGATGAGTTTGCTGACCTGAAGATACCACCAATCAGTGGTGTTGGAGTGGGCGGCAGTGGGGAGTATAGCCGTGCCAATGGCTGTGACTCCCTGTATCCATCGGGTCTGTGGGAACACGGTGCCCCAGTGGGCGCCACATCCGCGGATGATCTCTTCATGAAGCGCTACACGGACAAAACGCCCATCATAGACTCCACGCAGCTGTATGACTTGCACGAGCGAACAGCGGCCACGGATTATTTTAGCAAAACCTTTCCCAGATCTCACCTACAGCAGGGGATGACGGGAGGTGGTGGTGTTGGCGGAGGAACGTCTACGGCATCGACAGTTACCACCAATTTGTCGGGTGGCTCCTCATCGGGTTACCCCAACGATTATGGTCTGCCCCTAGTGCCGGGAGCAGAACACCAGCATAACCACCAGCTGCAGATGCATCCACTGCAGCAGCTCCAGCAGCAGCTGACCTCCACACTGAACCACCAGAAGCAGGAGGGCAGCTCCACCGGTAGTAGTCCGCACTTCAGTAGCCGCACACTGCCACGCCTGCACGATGGGAGTGGCGGTGGCGGCAGTTCCCGGTCCTCGCCAACGCCAGCGGTTAATCATGCAAACCAGGCGAATCCCAGCACCTCCTCCAGTTCCTGCTCCATCCTGCCCAACGGGCAGCCAATCAACGCCAAGACGATACGGGTGTGGCAAAAGGGCGGCGTGCCCGTCCTGCCACCGGTTACGGCCCTGAAAAGGGCCCTGATCAGCAGCAGCCGCAATTCGCCGGACGAGGGCTATCAGGAAGGATGCGGCACGGATGTGTAAGCGACGCGCTCCGAGGGATAGGAAGGAAACCAAACCAAGAACTGACTAAACTTAACACAACAAATAAGATGTTGGGAGGGGGGAAACATGGTAGCTCTTTTTTAGGTATACAAAATAATAACACTCATAGATAGCTCCGGGGTCCTAGGCGAGCAGCGATTATTGTGCAAGCGAACTGTTTGTGATAGTGTCTGACAAAAAAGATAATGCGAATGAAGATAATAATTGCCCAAAGCAAAGAGAAAGCTAAAACGAAATCAACTGCACTACACTAAAGTATACTCTCCTTGGCAAGTAACTCAACTAAAACTAAAACTAAACCTAAAACTAATACTAAATGTAAACGTAAACTAAATATTAAATAGGATATGTACAGCAGAAACTTTCTTTGAATAACATGGCAAACTCTCAACTCCCCGCATAAAGTAAAAAAAATAACCCAAAAAACATATATATATATATATATATGGAAAAGCAAACCATGTGAATGTAACTAAATCTATGAATATATATTTATATATATATCTATGTGACTATGTGTGTGCATGTGTGTGTGTAATTTCTTCGTTGTTCGGTTAGCAAAAAGTAAAAAAAGTTAAAAAAGAAGGTACCCAAAAACCAATAAACCTTTCCTCCAAGAGTTATAATCATAAATCAGACACGAAAAACCGAACTTGTGGCTCAACATTTGTAAAATATACATTCACATAAATAGTATGCATACGTATGGCAAAGGCTGCAGAAGAAGTTAAATAAATCATGGTAAATGTATATATTAGCTAACCCATAGACAAAGGAAAACCCATTCTTGATCCGACTATTGTTAAAAACCCAGTCTATGTCCCGTTAGAAGCTGTGAAATAGCATAAAAACCAAGGAAGGCTCTAAGTCTGACTTAGTGGATGGCAGTAAAGTTATTCATTCTCGATAATTATCCTTATTCTGGCATAATAACTTGTTAAAAAGTTTTCCTATTCAAATATTATATCTATTTCTATAATTTTTAAAAATATTTCAGTTGTAATTTAAACACTAAATAAACAATCCTTCAACCTTCCATCTTTAGTCTTTAATATTTTTCACTAGCGCCAGAAAATATGCAATGTAAATTCTAAATATTCTATGAGAAATTCCACTTCAAACTTGTATACTGATTTGTTTTCAATATTTTTTACCATAACTATCAAAAAACTGAGACAATTGTTAAATAAAACACATTTCCCTGTGCACTTATTCAGATTTACAAACAATTTATAAGCTGATAGAAACAGGTTCTGAATGAATTCTGCAGAGAATGACTGTTGACCCCATTCCGTCATGCAAATATGTTCTCTTAATGAAATTAGGACGGTTTACCCAAAAATTTCCTCAATCCAATTTGATTTACTGCTATCCATAAAATGATATAAAATTGCAAAGTTTTTGTAAATTTCCTAATAAATCTAGAAGAAGGCAAGCTGTTGAGAGGCGAAGAGGAAATTTAACAAAATAAAATCTGTCGGCAGTTGAAAGGCAAACATAAAAAACCAATCGGAGAAAAATTCAAAAGTAAACGCAGAGGCAAAATATTCCTCAAATGCATACGTAAATAAACATATGTAAATTGTACTCAAAGTGCACACACACACTCACACACGCAAATAAGAACACACATGAAAAGACACATCACACAGACTCACACACACACACACATGTACATTTAGATATATGTCAGTTTGTCCTTGTAACGATTTAAAGCGTATCCACAAGATATTAATTGCCCGTATGTGCTAAGACTTAGAATTTAAGAGGAAAACAAAAACAGAAACAGAAAAAACATAAAAAACGAAAAGGAAAGGCAAACAAAATAATATTTTTAAGGTAAACCAAAGACTTTTTTCTTTGCATCTAAATGAGCGCTAGAGTCTTCAAAGGACTCGCAACAACAAGCAGTAGGCACACAGATACACACACACACAAACACATATACAAAACACATAGACACACACACAAAGTAATCTTAAACGAGAAAAAAGAGCAAGAAAAAACCATACCATTTAAGTTGAAATTATGTATTATGTATTGTATAATATAAACCTACGTATAGTATATAGTCTATAGATGTGTACACTTATCAACAGAGCGGCATAGCTAACAGGAGAGAGAGAAAGAAGGGGAAAGAGGGTATTGGAGGGATGGGCAGAGAAGAAAGTCGAGTGGGAAGAAGAGGGAAGATAGCCCGCAGACAAAAGGCGGGCATTGAATGCATGAAAGCAACTGAATGAACAACAAAGCAAAAAGGAAATATATATAACATTATATATATCTATATATAAACGAAAAACATAAACCATTGTCATTACTTTTTTCCTCTGCTAACTCCTCAACCCTCTAAAGATTTCAGTCAAAGGTAGGTATGGGATAGGGGCATTTCGGGGGTCAGCTGGGGATGACATGACCCAATTAGCTGGCCATTCGAATGCTGGCCCGAAGATGGGGCTAAAGCCCAAAGCTGACTCGACTGCGCTTCCCTTGTTATTCGCTGCTGCGCTTTGGCATATTAGGGCCAATCGTCTAATCGCCAATTATGCATTTCAACCTCAACCTAAACCCCAACCTAAACCCCAACCTAAACCCCAACCCCAACCCCAAAACACAACCTTACCTCATATACTCACCCACAGGCAGAGACAAGCTGAAAGTGTGGCTTGAATCGATATGGCTAATCGGTAGAGGCCAAAATGATGTCCATGAACGAGGAATATGGAATACCCTAAGGAAGATTACAATGGAACTTTGGAATCACTTTGCACACTTAAAAATATTTTTACTCGTTTCTTAAATCTTAAACTAATACTACCAAAACTTTCATATTTTCTACTGAACTTCACAACAAACTGAATACTTTTCAAACTTTCATAATATTTAACAAACATTTATTGTTTATTTCTCTCAAAATAAAGCCATTTACTGAAAAGCACATTTCCTAATACAAGCAGATTCCATCCATTTTCCTTCATATTCAAAGCCCTTTTAATCCCACAATCTTTAATCCCTGAACTTGTAGGGAAACAACTACTTTTAGTCAGACATTTTCCATGGCAAATTGGAGATGATTTTCCTTTTTTTTTTTGGGTGAAAATCTAGGCAACCTCTACTCTATCGATATGCACCCAGCGACCCAGTGCCCTCCTGCCCGATCCGTGTATGTCTGTTTGTAGATGAGAGGTGGCCACGATGAGTTGGTATTTGGGCTGGCAGATGTGGGCGGGAGTTGTTAGGGAGCGCGTAATATATACGAGGGCCCAGTACCCAGATTATATCATGGCGTGCGGCCATGGCAAACTGTCTGGGCTTAAACGCCCGCCACCCAATCCTACGAACGTCTCCCCTCATCTGCGGATATGGCCACCAAGCCTTATTGACGACGCGCAAAGTTTGCCAACTAAACAAGTTTTGTGCCTCAAATGAAATTTAGGTTGCAACTGAAGCCCAACAAAAGCCAAACAAAACACGGGCCAACAACAACAACAGCATGCCAAATGGAGAGCGGGTGGTTGGGGCAACAAAAAATTAGAACTTTTCTGCGCCGAAGGAAAGTGTATTTTATTTGTTCAACTTTATTACGTATACGTGCCGTTGTGCCGCCTGTGCAAATAACCAAAAATGCAAAACGTGTACCGCACCGTCTTCTCCTCTAATTCCAAGACCTACATCTCCTCCTACATTTCCCATTTCCACCAGGTGATCTCTAATGAAGCCTCCGCCATTGTGGCATCGTCAGGTGCTCGTCGCACTTTTATGTTGCATACATTTCTGCGTTTTCGGGCGCCTCTCTGTTTAACGACTTTGGCCAACATATGCCTACACTTGGCGGATATGTGAGGCTATTTTAAATACTTTTCGCAAGTAAACGCTTAACGAGCTTGTAACGTTTTATGAAATTAGTAATTATTTATGATACTTTACAAAAATTACCATAAAACAATAATATTAATAAGAAATATATAATAGTAAAAACTTTAAACGTTTCTTTAAAAATTCGTAGCTATTTCTGACTTTAAGTTTCATAAACTCTTTAAAACTTAACATATTAATATTTCCTCCCAACTAAACGTCCTTCAACTTGAAAATTTGAGTGTAGTTCAGTTTTATTTCCCTCTCCCAGAGCCCAGCTATGCCAAATTTATAAACGAGAAAAAAGCGGCGAAAGAAGAAAGGTAAACCACACACACGCAGCAAATACAAAACACTCGCTCTCACTCATATATGCCTAAGCTAACAGACAACGTGCCGTAAATATTGTTGAAAACGGCAGTTTATTTTTGGGGGAGCCCAGAAAACATCATTCAATTGAGGGGCTTCGGGGCAGGCTAAGCCAAGCCAAGCCAGGCCAAAAACCCTGCTAACTTGGGTCCGATTCAGTTGGTCCTCGGAAAGAGAAGGGTAAGTCGGGGAGGGGGCCATGGACAATCGGTAACCGCTGATGGATGTGAGCAGCAGCAACAAAGAGACAGCTGCTTGAGGTGCACGGGCATAATGCTGAGCGATATTTTTGTACCGTTTTGTTTTCCTTGCTGGGCACGGGTGTGTGTTTGTGTGCCGAAGGACCAAAAGCGGCCGCAAGTTAAATAAGGAGCATGCAACAAGGAAACTTTGGGTGCCTGTGTAGAAGGTTATTTAGAACGACTAAGGAATGCTCTAAAATCTTGAATTATAAAATATTCTATTCGTTCCTTATTGATTCTTGTAAAATTATTTATCCATTTTATTATTAATCCAAAAATCAATAAAACTATATATTTTTGTTGGGGCTGAAAAGGTAAGTAACGTTATCTTAAAAATTTCACTGGTAAAAAATGTTTAGCTCTTAGAGAAAAAGTAATACGCAGCTAACAAATTCCGCTTGCCTAGTGTATAAATGACACACACACACGCACGCCATACAGGCGCAGGACGAGAGTCATAAACAGAGACTGAACAAAGAGTTGTCCTTTGACTGTCAAACACACACATACTCTCGCACACATGACTCCTGCTCGGAGTGTATGTGTGTGTGTGTGTGTGTGTCTCTTTAGCGTCTCCAGGATTTAATGGCCTCATTAATTTTGTATGCTTGGCCTTAAATTATTTTACTTGCCTGCCCTGCTCAGCTATTCCATTAACTTGACTTTGCTATGTCCACAGCCGCATGCCACGCCCCCATTCGACGCCCCAACGCCCCAACGATCCACAATAAAAAAAAATATACAGAAGGCGAACAGGGAGCGGGGAGCTATCACACTGACGCGGAGTTGACTCGACTACATTAATTTACATAAGCTTAATTGTTTTATTTAATCAATAAAAATAATTAAATGCCATGTGCGTAAGTAATTAAAACAAATCGCTTTTATTGCACGGCCGAAATTGAAATTGCATAAACATAAACCGAATAGTGCCGCGGCAGGCAAACAAAGGACTCAAACCGAAAAATCGGAATTTGCATGCAACATGCTGCTCTGTCTGTCTATTTAATTACTGCACATCAAACATTAATCACCAGCCAAAATGCAAATATTCTGCGTACTGGAAAAACGAATATTTTTGGCCAAAATGATAATTTTGTTTTGATCGGCAAACAGAATTTGACGCCTCAACCGAGAAATGTACGCGGAATAGGAAAGTGGTTGGATGGTGGGCGGTCATATCCATAAACCAAATTACTTTATGCTTTTGGTTTTTGGCTAAATATATGCGTACATATGCATCTCGATTCCCCCAGTTTTTCCTGTTTTACTGTATTTAGCTTTGGCAGTTTTTCAGCATAATTTATGGCGCACAAAGCGTAAAAACCAGAAAAACCCCAGCAAATCACTAAGAGAAATTATGCAAAAATATTTCTCACTCGCGGTCAGCAGCAGGGAAATTCAATGTATCTCTGTTGGCAGTAGGTAAACGATTTAATCCTAAACACACGCACACACACACACACACATCGTTACAAATACAGCTACAAATTAAGCTAATGCCCAGATAGATACATTTATATTGATCAGCAATTTAATGTAAATTATATTGTATATTACGTGGGCCGAACCAATGTTTTACGTGTATGTATGTGTGTGTTTGTGTGTATATGGCACATTATGCAAATCACAATTTTGTATTTGTATCGCTCTGTCTGTTGCTTTTTATCGATATTTGTTTTATGACACGCCCACAAATCGGCCCACGGAGATAACGAGGAAAGCCCATTGAGCATATGCCCTGGAAAGTATGCTAGGGAATTTTGGAAACGGAAAATTATGGTAAACTTTGTGAGGCCATTGAAAATGTAAAATACAGATTTGTGGCTTGTGAAAGCCAGCCCAAAAGGTAATCATAAAAGCATTTTGGTCAATTTAAAAATGCATTTAAAAGTTATTATCAAAGTATATTCGAAAATTTAATAGATAATCCCGGAATGGATGGATATGTTAAACTTTGATTATAAAAGTATGGTTTATGTACATGGAAGTTAAGTTCATACTGTTTTGTATCAACTTTTCTTTAACTAGATATAAAGAGGTATTTACTTTCAGATATATGCTTTTGATTTCCTGGAATTCCTAGAGTCTAGTCCTCATTTCTATCTGCCCTCATTCATAGGAAATTCAGCAGGAAGCAGCAATAACAAGGCCGCAAAGTTTTCAAGTAAAGGCCGTGGGAATATTAAGATCTTTGACTATATAAGCTCCATCTACAGCATCCCAGGGCTTTCTTTCCTTCCTCCACCTTTACAGTCGAACTCATTAAAAATTCAATAGAAAATACATTGTGAACGGCGCAGTTGTTGTTATGCTTGCTGGTTGCTTCACCTGAATTGGGTGAACTGAAGATAGATATACCCATCGCCCACCGCTCACGCCCCCATCTTCCTTGCCACGCCCCCATTTCAGCAACAACAATTACATTTCCATGCAAATCAAATTGGAAAAAGATGTTGGCTTAGAGCTCAGCGCAAAGGAAAATTATAAAAACAATTTGCAATTTGACTTTAATCTTGGCGGGGCATTAAAGCAATATCCAAGGATAATTGGGCACGTGTGTCGCCACACCTGAGATAACATTCCGCCATACCAAATCCAAAAGCCAAATCCAAATCGAATCGAATGGCTGCCAATCAAATCGATTCCGTGTATTCGTATCCTCTTATCCCGTCTCTCTTATTGATTCATTGAGTGTCGAGGCAGCCGGCTAGTTAACTTAAGTTCATTGCCACCTCCAACGCCCAGGTTGTCAGCGTGATTAAATAATAATCATTCCACCTTGGCACCGCCAAGCACCACCCATAAACCATCACCAACCTA